CAGGGGACACATGTGGGCGCCGCCCGTGAAGGCGCCCTTAAGCGAAGCTCTATAGGATAATAACCTAAAGCCCATGACCTGTGCCAGCGGCGTGCCTTTTACATCGCCTCCTTCCCGCTCCTAAACAACCTTCAACACGGCCAGCGGACGGCTGTCCGGCCGTTGATAAACCGCTTGTACGGCGCAATAGCGGATCTATTAAGAAATTGCTTTTCTTGCGTCGTGCTAAATTGCTGGATACATCGCTTCTATCCTTGGCTTCTCCAAACATAGAATGGCTTCGACCTGGCCAAATTCTTAGATCTGGGCCAAATCTTTAGCGCTAACGGCTGTTTGGCCGTTGATAAACTGCTTGTACGGCGCAATAGCGGATCTACTCTCTGGAACTGAAATCCAAGAGGTGCTCCAATCCAAGTAAGCTTCTTGAGCTGGCCATGAGCTTGTCACGATTGCGGACGGCCGTTGATAAACTGCTTGTACGGCGCAATAACGGATGTACTCTCCGGTTGCCCTTGAGAGTTCTGTTCCGAATGGCTTTTCCCCTCATCAGCACTCTAAATCTTGAGTCCGGGAAATGCGTTTCCAAGCTTCTCGAGCTGGCCATCGGCTTGTCGTGCTTGCGGCCAGGCTGCGGAACGGCTGTCCGGCCGTTGATAAACTGCTTGTGCGGCGCAATAGCAGATCTACTCTCCGGAGCTCAAGTCGTGCTAAATCGCTTGACCTCATAATTCTGTCCTTGGCCTCTAACTCCCACTTCGAATTGGCTAGACTCTTAAATCTGGGTGTCATGATAAATTGATTGATTCAAGAATTCTGTCCTTGGCTTCCGACAGAATGGCTGGAGCAAATCTTTAGCGCGGCCAACGGCTGTTTGGCCTTTGATAAACTGCTTGTACGGCGCAATAGCGGATCTACTCTCTGGAGCTGAAATCCAAGAGGTGCTCCAATCCAAGTAAATGCTGATGTAAGCTTCTTGAGCTGGCCATGAGCTTCTCACGATTGCGGACGGCCGTTGATAAACTGCTTGTACGGCACAATAGCGGATCTACTCTCCGGTTGCTTTTCCGGGTCTGATAGATTGCTTGACCCCTCATCAGCGCTCCAAATCATGGGTTTCCAAGTTTCTTGAGCTGGCCATCGGCTTGTCGCGCTTGCGGTCAGGCTGTCCGGCCGTCGATAAACTGCTTGTACGGCGCAAGCTTGATTCAGCAATTCTGTCCCTGGCTTCCGAATCCCAAGACAGAATGGCTTCAAAATGGCAAGATTCTTAAATCTGGAGCAAATCTTTCGCGCGGCCAACGGCTGTCTGGCTGTTGATAAACTGCTTGTGCGGCGCAATAGCGGATCTACTCTCTGGAGCTGAAATCCAAGAGGTGCTCTAATCCAAGTAAATGCTTTTGTAGAAGCTTCTTGAGCTGGCCATGGGCATGTCTGCCGCAACACCCACTCAAGCTGTGTGCTGTGTTCAAGCTGTGTGCTGTGCTCAACTGCTTCGCAACTCAAGCTACATGCGGTCACGTCACTGCATGGCCGCGCGCGCGCGAAGTCGCACCATCCGCGTGAGGTCGCGTCGTGCGTTACGATTTCATGGCCCGCAGCAACATCCACGCACAAATGATGACTTTCGTGCGCTTCCGCGCTGGCCGCGTCGTTTACTGGTCATCCAGTTTAGAGTTCCAAAGCCAGCCGGGGGCGTGCAAATCACACTGGCCACGCGCTTCTACAGCGCGTCTGGTCATACAGTTCTAGGTTTCAAAGCTTGCGGGAATGCAAATCACGCACTTTCCACGCCTTCACCTAACATCCAACGACAAAATTGATGACATCTCCTCCACTGGCCGCGCCAGTCTTCTGGTCGTCAAGTTTTGAGTTCAAAGCGGAATGCAAAGCACACTGGCCGCGCGCTTCCACGGCGTGCGTCTAGTTTTGCGTTCCAAAGCCAGCCGCGGGAACGCAAAGCCTACTCGGCTTCGAAAAGCTTGCTCTGATTTGATCCTCTGCCGCAATTTGCTGGGAACGTTTGCCCAACTCGCGGACAAGCGCTCGATGGATGTCGAAGATCTTGTGGCTGCTTGAATTCGTTGCCGAGGACGAGACTGTTCGGCTGTTGCTGCTTCAGCACAGGGCTGTGGCTTCACAAGGCTTGCAGCAGCGGGCTCCGATTTTAGGCCGGCGGCATCTCGGGCAGGACTGCAGCGAACGCCTCGTCTACGCGGGCTTCAAAGGCAAGACGCCTGGCCCGGCGCGGCGCCGCCTCCGCAGCAGTTTCGCCCCACGCCACTGCCATTGGCAGCGGGCCTAAGAAAAGGATTAAACTTAATTACAATGAACTTAATTAATAAAACCAAAAGAAAAACAAACCAAACGCCATTGGCAGCGGGCCTACAAAGTCTTCCTGGAGCTCGGGGATCTGCGCTCCCCGGGCCTCCATGACTGCGCGCTCGCACGCTCGCCCGCCCATGCACCCGCGGGGGCCGGCGCAGTCCGGCCGCGTGCAGCGACGCGTGCGGCGCCGGGGCGGTTGCTCGGGCGGCGGCAGGGGCACGCCCTCCGGAATGTCCCACTCGTACCGTCGCCCGAAGGGGTTCAAGTACGAGTAGGCCGACTCCGGGCGGAACGGCCCCTCAGCCAGCAGTGCCCGACCAAACGCCTGGCTGCCTTCGCCGTGCTCGCGAACGGCTTGCGCGTACACGGAACAGTCGACACCCGCATTGCACGCCTCCGTGTTGTCGCAACTAGGGCGCCAACACGGCGGCGCGCGGCGGAGCCTGCCGTTCCGGTACAGCCCCTGCGGGTCCACGGCGGGCCGCGCGATGCGGAGCGCCGGGTGAATGGCCGAGTCCGGCACGGCCTTGCGGCCGCCCGCCCTCGACCTCTCCACCCGGGCTCGCTTAAAAAGCGTTCGCTGAAGGCGACTCAGTCTGAGAGTCTCCTCCAGCACTTTGGCCTGCGGAACGGTGCCCGGCTCAGGCTCAGCACCCGCCCCGGCGGAGAAATCGTCCCAGCGCTGGAGGGCGTTCATGGCCTGACAGGATAAGGCGCGCGCGTTCGCGGTTGGGGTTCGGCGCGCGCCTGACGCAACTGCCTCTCGTTCTGCTCAATCTCTGCGTTGAGACGGCAGAGCGCGGCAAGGCCTGCAAGCGTTGTAGACTGCGCGCGCTAATCTGAGGCGCGCGCCTCGTGCGTGTTGGCCTGGGCGCGCCGGGCGCGGCGCTGGCTTGGGGGCATTGTCGCAGGCGGCCCACTTTGGTGGGAGCGCGGCCACCGGGCGCGCCTCCACTTTAAGGCCTTGGGCAATCAATTGGAGCGACTCCGCTCGGAGACGCGGCCCGCCTTGTTTGCCGCGCAGTCGTCTTCGCGCGCCGAGCAGGACCAAGCGGAAGTTGCTAGGCAGCACCTTCTCCTGCAAGTCTGGCGACTGGCAAGAACCCGTAAAGCTGTCTCGCCTTCGGCTTGGCCGGCCCGTGCTTGCGGCCTGTCAAGACGACTCCGCAGAACTCCGCGCGAAGACGCTCCGAGCTTGCCTTTGCGGCTTGTGGTCTGCGGCGGCGCTTCCGGCGGAAGATCTTCCACGCCTTCGTGGGCGTGCGCTGCTTGCGCGAGGGTTCGGCCTGTAAGGCCGTGGCTGAGGTCTACGAGCTCCCCCACGCTTGCGCGCTTCTGTCCTGTCAGGACGCTTCAGCGCGCGAAGACGCGTCAAGTTCAGCGCTGCGCGGGGGCGTCAAGCTCAAAACTCAAAACGTTCGGCCGTCCTCCGCGGTCGGCGGCTCGCAGCGCCTCAAGCGGGACGTCTTCATCGCCTTTGCTCGGGAAGAGCGTGCTTTTGCATAGCGCTTCGTAGTGTTCTTGCGCAGAGGTTCAATGGCTGAGGCTGAGGTCTACAACCTGCCCCGGGCTCGGGCGCTTCTGTCCTGTCAAGACGCTTCAGCGCGCGACAACGTGCCGAGCTTTGCGTTTAGCACGCCTCTGCTGCCTCTCCCGCTTGCGGTTTGCAGCGCTTCGAGCGGGCAGTCATCCTCGCCTTCGCGCGGGAAGCGGATGCGGCAGTGCTTTTGCGTCGCCTTTCAAGTGTAAGGCCGCTGCTGAGCTGTGTGGCGGGCTGGCGCATGTGTCCTGCCGAGGCGCTGGTGCGCAGCGGGGCGTTTCCCTCACCTTTGCGCAGGAAGCAGACACAGCGTGCTTTTGCTAGTGTTTCGCGTGTTTAAGGCCGCCGCCGAGGACTGCAGACGGGGTAAGCTTCCGCTTGGCGTTCCCGCGCCTGCGTCCTGACGCAACGATGTGCGAGGCCGAGCTCAAGTTCACAGCGCCTGGCCGTCCTCCGCAGCTAGCGGCCCCCAGTGCGTTGCGCGGGCAGTCGTCCTCACCTTTGCGTGCGTCACAGGAGCTGTGCGCGCGCGCCATGTTGTCTTATGCAAGGCCGCGGCTGAGGTTCGCGGACCCGGGCGCGGCAACTGTGTGCTTCCGCTCGGCCGGCGCCCGCTTGGGTCCTGTCGGAAAGGTTGGGCGAGGCCGGGCGCGCAGAGGCGCCGAGCTGGAGCTTCGAAGTGCTCGGCCCTTGCCTGCGCCGGCCAGCAGCGCGTCGAGCGGAAGGCGGTCTTCGTCGTCGCCTGCGCGCGCTGAGCGCGAAGCGAGCTTCTTGCTTGCGGGCTAACGCCCCGACCGAGCTTGTGTCTGAGCCCGGCGCTCTTCACTTCCTCGCGCAGCTCCAGCTCGGTGTTGCCTTTGGAAGCGCGCGGGTCTGCGGCGCCCGGAGCCAGGTTGGTCGAGGGCCGGGCCCGGTTTGTTTTCCGCGGCCCGCTCCCCGCAGTCGACGTGCTCGGTCTCGCCTTGAGAAGGAAATCTCCAGGCGCGATGCGCCTTTTCTTAATTTACCCTCGGAGTATGTCGTGCGTTTGTTGAGCGTGTCGCATTGAGGCCTAGCGCGCGCGGTCTGAGGATCGGACCCAGTTTTTCTTCGGCCGCCTCTTCCTTCACCACGCACTCGCCTTCGCCTGCCAGAATCAGTCTCTAGAGCGGATGTTCTCCGCGCTAGGGCCGCGGCTGGACTCGTCCAGCTCGGTGTCCGCGGTGGTGTTCGACCGGCTGCCTGGCGCGGCGTTGTCGAGACTTCACTGCGACACGCCTCCAGCGTGCCTGCAGGCAAGCGGTCTTCCGGCCCTCCCCGCGGCGCTGGCAGCACGCCCGCGCACTCCACTGCCTCGTAGAACAGCAGGCGGGAGCGCGTGCGGTTGAGCGGCGGCGGTGCGCACACTTGTACGTCGCTGTCATTGTACGACAGCCACCGTTCGCCTTTGTCAAGGGGCACGAAAGTCATGTAGTGCCCTGACTCCTCGCTCTTGCCCAGTCGGCACACCGTTGCCCGTAGGTGAAAGTCGCGGCCTTTCAGCCGGAGGGTCAACGGCGTGTCCAGCGCGCTCTCTTGGCCGCGGGGGCGGTTGACCCGCAGGGCAAGGACTCGGCCGGGGCCGAAAGCGCGGGCGGTGCAACGTGTGCTGCTGTAGCCGCAGTTGCACGCACAGAGGTGGACGGTCTCGAAGGAGAAGGGATTCTCCTCGAGGAGGAGGTGCGTCAAGTCCACTTGCGTCAAGCGGGCGCCGGGCGGGTGGACGTCTGCCACTAGCTCGCGCTCGACGGCGCCGTGCTTCCAGGCACAACCTGGTTTGCCGCAGCGAGGCACGTAAGAGTCTTCGTGGAACGCCTCCTGCGCAAAACACTGGGCAAAACCCGGCATTCTGCCAGGAGGGCGTCGTCCTGCTCTGTGACGTGACGCCCTACGCTCTGGAGCCAGACGCCCCACAATGCGAGCAGGTCGGGGGATGGCTTGGGTGCCGGCTTGCGTTGCGGGTTGCCTTCAGCACGCAGAGCGCGCAGTGGGGAGGGCGTGCGGGGCTGGAAGCGTGTCCAGTCACGACGTCGGCCGTGGCGCCGGTGGCGAAGAGTGCTTGTAGGGTCGAGGCGACCCAGCACGTCGTAGAAGTCGGGTTGGCAAACCCGCTTCTGGCCGACGTCGTGGACGGGCCTTGGGTTCGCCAGCAAGCAGACGCAGGTCGCACGCGTCAAGGAGACCTACCCCGCCTTGAAACGCCGCGCTGTTGCCGTGCTCCGTGTGCGCCTGTCGTTTGACGTTGTCTCCGCGCGTTGGAGCGCGAGTGCCAAGCCTCCCGGTTACGGAGCTTGCGCGGCTTTCGCCACTGCGCGCCTTGCAGACAGCGGGCTGCGCTCCTAGCCCTTGTTTTCCCTGGAGTTCGCTTGAGGCGGCCGCCCAGCAGGTAGGCCAAGCTCTCGGGCGCAGTCTCATCCTCGGCGTCCACCGGCGGGCCGACGTGCAACTCCTGACGATTTTTTGCGGCAGGCGCAAGAGCCCGAAACACTGTCACCTTCGTGTGGGCAGCCTGCTGCCGCGCCCGCGCCGCGTTCACAGCCTGACGGCTCTCTGGTGTCACTCGTCATCGCGTTGCGCGCCGGCCTCCTGTCGCCGCGCGCGCTCCCGTTCGCGCATGTCGGCCGCCAAGCGGTCGCCTGCCGATGCGGTTCTTGCCGCTCTCGAACGACGGCGAAGTTGTCTAGGCCCCTGGCACCACGCGGAGCTCTGGTGCAGCCCGGCCTGCCGCGAAGCAAATGCGAAGGCGGGGGACGGGTCGCGCTGACCTCCGGGCTGCGCGCCGCGTTTGCCTCCACCTGCGCGGCCACGAGGGCCTCCAGCTCCTGCGCGGCCGGAACGCGCCGTCGCGCCGTCCGGCGCCGCCTTGCCTCGTCCCACGCGTCTCGGGCGTCTTCGTTCTTCTTCGCCTGTTGGTTCGAGGCTTGGCTCGGCGACCAGTCGCGGCGTCTCAGCGCGCGACCTTGGCCGCGACCTTGGGCTGCTTGAGCACGCGGTCGGGCGTCGGCGCCTGCAAGTCGCGAGCCCAAGCGTTGCTTGTTTTTTCGCGCCGCGTTTTCGGTCGCGCCTCTCTGCCCGCCTCGCTGTCGGCCTTCGTGCGTCGGGTGCCCCAGTCCTGTTGTTGGAGAGGCGAAGCGGGAGAGGCGCGCTCCCCTGCCTTGTCCACGTGGACCCAGCCCGCCTTGAGCGCCAAGGCGCCGCGATTTTAGTAGCCCTCTCAGGCAGCGACGGGGGTCGCTAAGCCGGGCCAGGTAGTCCTGGCTTTGGCGTGACTGACTTGGGTTTTGCGCTCGGCCCAAGCCTCCACGCTCCAGCACCAGTCCGGGCTGACCTCCTCCTCCTCAGCTGCCAGGTCGGCCCAGCGCGACATCCTGGCGCTCCTCCGGGGCGGGTTGCTTGAGCCGGTCAGCAGTGGCTGCGGCGCAAGCTTTTGGCAGTTGCTCCTGAAGCAGTTTCGCTGTGACAAGCTGGCCTCCACAGCCTCAAGGCCTTGGCGGCCAACTTGCAGAAGTCTTCCCTTTTTGCAAGTTGGGTTAAACGCGGGGCTAGGCGTTGATCTCGTGCCCGAACTAGACCTTGCGGACAGGTTCGCAAGCAAGCGTTGCTTGAAGTGAAGCTTTCGACATGACGAGTGACCTGAGCGCCCCGCTGTCTGTCAAGGTCTCTTGCCGCGGAGAGCGCCGAACGTTTGAGCCAATTCTCTCTCTCTCTCTCTCTCTCTCTCTCTCTCTCTCTCTCTCTCTCTCTCTCTCTCTCTCTCTCTCTCTCTCTCTCCCAGATTCGCGTCCAACCTCGGTCGCAAGGGTCATTGAGTTGTTCGAGCGAGCGGGCTGAGACCCAAGCAAACCTGGATTTTAGTTCCCCTCATACCCCTGATCCGGCCAGGCCCGGTCAAGTTTGCTGCACAAGGGGCTTTCTTCTTGCTTGTTTCGCGCCACTGGCGCCGCGATTTAGGGGGAGGATCAAGAAACGCTGCTTCGAGAAAAGAAAAAACCCGCGACTCTGGCTGGCGAGTTCTTCAGGTGCCAGGATTTTAGCTTTTAGCTTCTGGCTGGCCGGGCCCCAGGCGGGCTCGAGTTCTTAAGGTGCCGGGATTTTTGCCTTTAGCTTCTGCTGCCCGAGCCCCTGCGGGCTCAAGTTTTTTAGGCGCCAGGATTTTAGCCTTTTGCTTCCGTCTGGCCGGGCCTCAGGCGGGCTCGAGTTCTTAAGGTGCGGGGAATTTTGCTTTTAGCTTCTGGCTGCCCGAGCCCCTGCGAGCTCGAATTTTTAAGGTGCCAGGATTTTAGCCTTTTGCTTCTGGCTGGCCAGGCCCCGGCGGGCTCGAGTTCTTAAGGTGCCGGGATTTTTGCCTTTAGCTTCTGGCTGCCCGAGCCCCTGCAGGATTATAGCCTCGAGCTTCTGGCTGGCCGGGCCCCAGGCCGGCTCGAGTTCTTAAGGTGCCGGGATTTTAGCCTTTAGCTTCTGGCTGGCCGGGCCCCAGGCGGGCTCGAGCCTTTAAGGTGCTCCCTATTTAGCTTTTGGCTGCCCGAGCCCCTGCGGGCTCGAGTTTTTAAGGTGCTAGGATTTTAGCCTTTAGCCTCTGGCTGGCCGAGCCCAGGCGGGCTCGAGTTCTTAAGGTGCCGGGATTTTAGCCTTTAGCTTCTGGCTGCAGGCGGGCTCGAGTTCTTAAGGTGCCGGCTTTTGCCTCTAGTCTGGCTGGCCAAGGCTCAGGCGGGCTCGAGTTCTTAAGGTTCCAGGATTTTAGCCTTTAGCTTCTGGCTGGCCGAGCCCCTGCAGGCTCGAGTTCTTAAGGTGCCGGGATTTTAGCCTTTAGCTTCTGGCTGGCCGGGCCCCAGGCGGGCTCGAGTTCTTAAGGTGCCGGTTTTTGTCTCTAGCTTCTGGCTGGCCGGGCCCGAAGCCGGCTCGAGTTCTTAAGGTGCCGGGATTTTAGCCTTTAGCTTCTGGCTGGCCAGGCCCCAGGCGGGCTCGAGTTCCTAAGGTGCCAGGATTTTAGCCTTTAGCTTCTGGCTGGCCAGGCCCCTGCAGGCTCGAGTTCTTAAGGTGCCGGGATTTTAGCCTTTAGCTTCTGGCTGGCCGGGCCCCAGGCGGGCTCGAGTTTTTAAGGTGCCAGGATTTTAGCCTTTAGCTTCTGGCTGGCCAGGCTCGAGCTTGTAAGGAGCTAGGATTTTCTTTGTTTGGTTTCTGGGCGGGCTCGCGTTTTTAAAGTGCTAGGATTTCCTGGTTCTTAAGGTGCTAGGATTGTCCTTGCCTAGCTTCGGGCTAGCCGGGGCGCGGCAAGCCAGTGTTTTTAAGGCGTTTTGGCCTAAAGCGAAGAATCCTAGCGCGTCGAAACTCGCTCCTGGGCCGGCCGGCCGCAAGCTCAAGCACAAATTTGGCAACTGAAAGAGCTCGAGCCCAGCCTGGCCAGCCACAAGCTTCACTTGAACAAAAAACGACCCTTCGGCCAGCCACAAGCCAAAGCGGAAAATCCTGACGCCTTAAAACTTGAGCCTGGGCCGACAAGCTCAAGCAAAAATTTGCACTTGAAAACTGGAGCCCTGCCTGGCCAGCCACAAGCTAAACCGAAAACGCCGGCCCTAAAAGCTCGAGTGTGGCCGGCCACAAAATCCTGGAGCCTCAAAATTCGAGCCTGGGCCGGACAGCAACAAGCTCAAACACAAATCTGGGCACTTAACAAACTCGAGCCGAGCCTGGCCAGCCACAAGCTAAACCGGATAAACGTTGGTATAAAACCGATCCTGGCCTGGCTAGCCGCAAGTCAAAGCGAAAAATCCCGGCGTGTTAAAAACTCGAGCCCGGACCAGCCGGCAAGAAGCTAAGGCAGAGAGTCCGGCCGGCCCCAAGCTACACCAGAAAAACGTTGGCCTGAAAAACTCGAGCCCGGCCCGGCCAGCAACAAGCCAGAGCGAAGAGTCCTTGCGCGGCCCGGCCAACCGCAAACTGAGGCGAAAAGAGCACCTTAAAACACGCGCGGCCCGGCCAGGAGGCAAACCAAAAAACACGACGCCAGAGAAACTCGTGTCCGGAGTGGCCAGCCGCAAGCTAAAGCAGAAAACTGAGCACTTAAAAAACTCGAGCTTGGTCTGGGCCAGCACGGGCAAAAACAAAAAAAACCCGGCGCTTGGAAATGTGGAACGACTGTTCGGGATCCGCTGGAAACGCAACCCCGTTCGGGCAGCAAAAGGCTAAAATCCCGGCACGTTAAGAACTCGAGCCTGCAGGGGCTCGGCCAGCCACGAATTTGCTGGTTTGTGTTTAGCTTGTGGCTGGCCGGGCCAGGTTTCAGTTTTTGAGGTGTCGGGAATTTTTGGTCCAGCTTCTGGCTTACCAGCGACAATTTATCCGGCTAGGCTTGTGGCTGGGCAGGGTGTAATTTTGCAACACGAAGCGTTTTGCCGGCGGTGTTTCTATCAAATCATTCACACGCAAAGCCATGTCAATCTGCCCAGCGAGGCCCCTGAATAGTATCAATAAAAAACAACAACACGGGCGTAAACGGGCACTGGGTCCTCAACGAGAATAGTTGCGCGCATTTAGCCCAAATTGAGACTGGGTCGATATTAGAAGGGGAACAAAAATTTAAAGGGGGCGATTTCCCACTAGACCACAATAAGCAAAAACTGAAAAATGCTTCCCAACAAGAACCATGAAAATGGACCGGCGTGGAGCTTGGCAACAAAGGTTGATACGACAGTTCGGGCGATAAAAAAAAGAAAAGAGGCGCAACGCCCGCTGCTAACGCGGAGCTTCAAGCGGGGGGGGGGGGCAAATGTTGCCCTTCTTTGCGGGACAAGATTGTCAGCAAGCCCTCTGCAACAAATTCTGAAGCGCTGGAGCGAACGGAACTCTGCGCCCATTAGTCCAGAGCAAGCAACTGCGGACGCAAGGCGTCCGCTCGACCCTTTTTCCTCGGCCCCGGGTTGTGCGGCCTTTCTACATGGCCGGGGTGAAATGCCGAGGGCAGACTGGTCCTGCAATGAGGTAGTCGCAGTCGCGCTTGACTCTTGACATGGCGACGTAGGCTGCCGCTTTGCAGCAGGCGACGTCGAGCCAGACGGTCACGTGCGCTAACGCTTTGGCCCTGCACGCGGTGCACGGTGCTGGCGTAACCGAGGCGAATGGGGTAGTACTTGACGCGCCCTTTGTTCTCGACGTGTTCGTGAATTGCCGACACGGCCAGTCTTGCCCCGGTTTTCGTGATGACCTCGAGACAGCCACTGCGCGCGTCGTAGGCGTCGACTGTGCAGGCCATGCCATTCACAAAGCCCGTTTCCTTGTTCATGTTCTTTGTCAGGAATAGGCGCTGGCCCTTGAAGATCTCAAGCTGCGTGGGCTGCGGCCGGCCGTCCTTCTTGAGCTGCCCGCGTCGGTTGAAATTGTCTGGATTCGTCTCCCAATCCGTCGGCAGTTCGGCCAACGGCTTCTTGTGACGCTGCTTGAAGAAAACATCCACGGACAACTCGTTTACTTGCTGGGCTGCGCGGCGGCTGCAAGTGACAATGGTCGTCTTGCCCCCAGTTCTGCGGTCGAGCTCCAAAATGTCCCAAGCAGTCGGCTCCTCAGCTGTCCAGGCGCGGTGGGCTCGGTTCGCGATTTTGCTGAGCAGTCGCTGCGAGGGAACGCTGGTCCGCAGAGCGGCTAATTTCTTCGCGAGCTTCGGATCCTCGCAGCGGTGGTTGCCAGTGAACTCCAGTACTTTGACATGTTGCCAGGCGGCGCTGTCCGAAATCTTCGTCGGGTCCTTCTGCGGCCCTGGCAGCTGCCAGAAGTCGCCCAACATGACAAGGCAAGGCAATTGGTCGGCCGTCCGCCACATTGCGTCTAGCCGGTCCATGTGCTCGGCGGTCAGCATTGAGAGCTCGTCCACAACGACCAGGTCATACTGCGTCATGATCGGCAGCGCCTCGTTGATGTCTCGGTGAAAGAGAAAGGCGCCGTGGCACGTGTCCACATCCACGTCTGGGTGCCTCGCTCGCATCTCTGCGGCGAGTTGCCCGGTCGGCAGCGCCAGCAAGATGCGAGCCCCGCGCTGCTTCCAGTGGTCGATGCAGGCGTGCGCCGGACCCAGGCGCGCCCAGCGCTGCGACAATCTTGGAGTTTTCAGCCGCTCGCGCAGTGGCGTCGTAGCTTTCGTCGTCTACGGCGTCGCGGGCGTCCAAGCTCCGCTGGACGATTCTGTCT